CTCAGAAGCGGGAACAAGGAATCTTACTCTCATCAAGAGAGAAGAGCCAGGAGTTAGTGCGGTCCCTGGACTCCAAAAACCAAACTGAGACCACTGCTACTGAGTGGATTTCCATCTCAGCACCATATGTTGTTGTATGATTTGAATCTTGTGGATTTATCAGTACTTGCTTGTGACCTAAAATGTGGTCTGTCCTGGAGAATCATCCATGTTCACTGGATGCTTGTGTGGAGTAGAATGTATACTGTGCTGCTTTTGGAGGGAGGGAGTGGTCTATGGATTTGCTAAGTCTCATTGGGTCTAGTGTCAGTCAGGTCCTTTGTTGATCTTCTTAGATGTTCTGTCTATAGTTTGAAAGTGGTGTCTTGAACTCTTAATGATTACTAATGTTACTGTATTTCTCCCCTCAACTATTACTTCTTTTATTCCATTTGCTCCCCTCTTCAATGAACCCTTTTAGGGAACTTTCACAGGTAGTTTCTGAGTCTTTTACTGTATAAAATGCCTTAATTTTGCCCTCCAAAATTTTTTTTAATAAAGAGAACATTTATTAAGTCTTAAACAGAATCGGGACAAGACAACCACAGAGCCATATCATCTGGATGAGGGAGACCATTACCATGAGGTCCTAATGGTGTTCCAGGGTTTGCTGGGATACATAATATTAAAAAGGGCAGGGGAGGTTAAAGAAGACTGTCACATAAACATGGTTGGCCGTCTCCCTTCAATTCTATCAGTGTTTGCTTTATATGTTTCGATGCTCCAATATTGGGTGCATATGTATTTAAATCTTCTTGATTAATTAATCTTTTTTCTACTGTATAAAGTCCATCTTTATATCTTCCAACAGATTACCTCTACGTCTACTTCATTTGATATTAAGATTGGTCTAACTCTCTTAGCCATTTTTTGCATAGGCTTTATTTTTTTAACCTTTCCCCTTCTACCTGTTTGTGTCTTTGGGTTTAAGGTGTGTCTCTTGTAAACAGCATTCTGCTACTTTGCCTTTTGATGGGAACATTAGTCCATTTACATTCACTATACTTACTGAAGTAACTGATGCTATTTTGTGTTTTATATATGTCTCAAGCCTTCTTTGTATTGCTTGCTTTTGTGTTTTATTGGTTTATTACAGTAGGATTTTTGGATTTCCTTTTGTATGAATGTGTTCTATGTATGTTTTTAGTGGTTAGCATGAATATTGCATTTAAGGACTTGTGTTTATAACACTGGGATAAACTGGCACCAACGTCATTTTAGTGTCACAAGAGATTTTGTAGCTGTGCTCTTCCTCTCCTGCCCCCTTTGTTGATGTCACGAATTATGCGGTTACATGTCATTGTCCTGTAGCATAGTTTCACGACTATTTTCACTTTTAATGTTGTGACTCAACCCTGTCCTTTTTGTTTTTTTAACCCTGTTGTTTTCCTTATATAAAAACCATTATTGTCTATCCTCTGTATATAGGTATGCATTGTTTCACATCCATTTTGGACAGTGTCAGACTGTACATATGTCCTTGGTCCCATCAGGGTTGTTTGTTTGTTTGTTTTTAGAGGGCAGCACTTCTCCTTTTATTATTTCCCCTCACTGATTTGAAAGGTGCCCGCCAACCCGGACTCTTGCCTCTTGGACTTTGGCTAGCAGGGGGTGGCTGCTAGGTGATGGCTGCTCCTTTGGCTCATGTGGGGTGGCATTGGCCATCCCCTTGGTCTCTGCCAGTAGCTCTAGCAGCAGTGATGATGAGGCCAGCTGGAAGTGGGCTTCCACAAGATTTTAATAGTGTTTGCACAACATCCTAATCACACAGCACCCTGTTTCACAGGATACATTGTGATAGTTAGGCATGACATACCTGTATCTATAGTATTGAATCGTCATTAAACCCATACTGACCTTATAGGACAGAGTAGAACTAATATAACCAGTAAAGTGAAGCACTCAGTGGTTCAGAATTGCCAGCCAGAGCTGCTTCCATAAAGATTTATAACCTCTGAAACCGTAATAGGCAGTTCTACTGCATCCTATTGGAGTGCTATAAGTATGGTTTAATATGACCTGTTATATTGTTTGTGCCTGAGAGATGACTTTAGGACTGTCAGGTTGGGCCATCAGGTCTGTTATGTTTTTTAGTCTGAGTTGAGGTACCTTTTGAAGTCTCCAATACCAGCTTGTGGGTTTTGTTTTCTTTAATTTTTGTTGCTGTTGTTTCTGAGGCTATACATACAAAACACACCAATTCAACAGTTTCTACATGTTCAAAATAGTAACATTGAGTAAATTCTTCTGGTTGTGCATCCATTGTCACCTCATTTTCTGAGTTGTTCCTCTATCATTAACATAAACTCACTGCCTCCTAAGGTTCCTATTTAAGTTTTTATCTAATTTTTCCCATTGCAGTTGCTAGTTTCATCCCATGTACCGGTAGGTAGTTCTTAAAGGAGTGTAATGCTCAAGGGGGGCCATTTTTATAGTTAAGCTAAACTGTTGTTTGTTCTTAAATAGACTTCAGGGAACATTCTTGGTGTATGGCTTAAAGATTGTTTCAGGGCAGTACCTTCAGGGACTCATCCATCTTCCATGGCTCTGGAAAGTCTGGCTAGAGTCTGTGAGAACTTGAAATTGTGTTCTTTTTCATGTTTGTTGTTGAAGGAATAGAATGACTAACATGTTTTTTTTGTTTTTTTTTACAGATTATCTTGATAATGGTAATAATAAAATGGCAATTCAGCAAGCAGATAAACTATTGAAGAAACATAAGGATCTTCATTGTGCTAAGGTACAAGTTCCATTGCCCACAAGTTATTTAGGTTTTGTGGATTATGTATTGTAGTTCTTTTACTTGAACGGGAAAAGGTTTTTAGTTCATTTCTTCAATGACCATTGTGTATTTTTACACAGGACTTTTCAGGCCCTTTATGATGAGGCATCAAAAAGTTTGTGGGAAAAATCCATTATCCTTCAATTCTATTTTCCCATGAACTTTTTGAAGCTCCTTTGTATCTGCTCAGTCACTTTAAAAGCTGTATAAATGTTTTGTGTGTGTTTTTTAATGCTAGCTTTTATTTCTTTGACATTACTTATCTAATTTAACTGGCGGTGGGCATTGTTGTCAAAGGAAAGAGATGAGGCTTTCTACTCCTAGGAAGACTTAGTTTCTGAAACCCCCAAGGGGCAGTCCTACTCTGTCTGACAGGGTGGTGGGGAGTCGGAATGGACCAGAGGGCAGTAGGTTGGTTTTTGAGTTTAAGCATTGTTGTGCATTCTCTTGTTTAACAACAGTGGGAAAGAATCTTGATTCACTTGTATTTTTAGTAAAAAATTGGTGTAGTTCTTTGCTAGCCAAAGTTGCACTTCCCCTGGAGGGGTGGGGGTGGGTGGGTGCTTGAACTATTCAGAGGGGATGTAAAAGGAGATACCACTGTGTTCTGGATTATGGGCTATAGTACAAGTTTTTAGTTGCCAGAGGGGCAGTGAATACATTTTTTTTTTTTTCTAAAAAGGAGGCATTAGGTCACGGAAGTTTGGGAACCTATGGTTTAGTTGATTAGCAACACATGCATATCTTAAAATCTATGTTCTCAAATTGGCTTTCTTAGGATCATAGTTTCATGTTTGCCCTTTTAAAACAAAATTTTCTCCCCGTCACGTCAGGTTCTAAAGGCAATTGGTTTGCAGAGAACTGGAAAGCAAGAAGAAGCATTCACCTTGGCACAGGAGGTGGCAGCCCTTGAGCCTACAGATGACAACTCGCTACAGGCGCTGACAATTCTTTACCGGGAGATGCACCGGCGTATGTTGCTCTCTTCCTGTTTTTTAAAAAGTCTCGTTTCTTAAGGGTTTTTTTGGATGATAGTTTTGATTGAATTTTTGGTTGCTTTTAGAGTCAGAACCGCAGAGTACCAGTGGGTGTGGTTGGCTTGGGTTGCCTGTTGTTAGCTTTCTTGATTTGTGGGGGTGGAAACAGGGAGACTAAGCAGTGACTCGGTTTATGAAGATTAGAGACAGACAAAACATTTACATATTTTCGATCTTTGAATTGGAATGCTGATTAAATTGAGTTAATAGTGACATTTTGATATGCGAAGTAAATGTGCTTATCATGGGATAATTTAAGCATAAAACAAAGTGGAGAAAATTCTTTTAAAATCTCATTTGTTTAAAAAAAAAATCTCATTGTACCCATGCCTCCCTTCCACTATTACTAACACATGATCAGTTTTCTTTTATGCTCCTCCCTGTACTAGATTATTTCAGTGCCTGTCTTAGATAGCCTATCATTTCATCTGCAAACAAGATATTGCTTTAAATAAAGGTTTCCACAAATATTATCTTATACATAACATTTTCACAATACCAAAAGCAAGCCAGTTGCTATTGAGTTGATTCTGAATCCTGGCAGCCCCTTGTGTGCAGAGTGGAAGTATATGCCTGACGGGTTTGGGGGCTGTGAACTTTGGAAGCAAGTTGTCAGGACTTTCTAACAGGTACTTCTGGGTAATTTGAACTGTCAATCTTTCATTTAGTAGTTAAGCACTCAACTGATTTTGTCACCCAGGGACTCCTTTTTATATTAAATATTATGAAGATAATTTATGATGTGTGGTAATGAACACATGAATTTACCATGTGCCTTAAGAAACAAAGCCTTCCTTGTCAGAGTGGGAAAGGCTCCCTGAGTTTTCTGGTTGGTCTCATTTTCCCTTTGCCCCCAGGATAGGATTCTTTATTTAGGATTTTTATTTTAGTCCTCTAGCATAAAAAACACTAACAAAACCAAACAAGGCCTGCTAGCCCTCTTGTGTCTTTAAGTGATGCATTATTTAGTGTTACTTATTTTTGAACTTTATATATGTGTGGTTTGTACTATGTATTTCGTGACTTGCTCTTTTCGTGTGCTATCCAAATATTGCCGTTGGTTGCTGTCAAGTAGGCTGCATCTCATGGTGCCATGTGTACAGCAGAAAGAAACGGTGCCTGGTCTGGGCCATTACGTTCATGACAGAGTTGGCTGAAAGTTTGAGTCCAGTGAGATTATTTCTGTTCTGATCCATAAGGTTTTCATTGGTTAATTTTTGGAAGTAGATTGCCAGGCCTTCTTCCTAGCCTGTCTTGGTCTGGGAACTCTGCTGAAACCTGCCTACCAGGTATTTGAAATACAAGCATCATAACAATGTGCAAGCCACCACAGTACAACAAATGAGTAGGTGATCGATGGAATACCCAGTAGCTGTAGTTAATTTATTTTCACTGCCATGAACTATTTCATTGCGTGATTATGTCATAATCTAGCAATTTGTAGTTTTGTGTATGTCTGATCAGCTATAAAAAAATAAAGAAGGAACTGCCAGCATGTTTTCTAAGTTTACTATCTTAGCAGCAGTGTGTGAGTTCCAACTGCTCTGCATCCTTGTCAGTAAGCACTTGAAAAACAAAACAAAAAACACTTGACATTTCAAAGTTTTATTTTTATTTATTTCTTTTTTACACTTGATGTTTTTAGCTTTAAAAAATTTTGTCAACCTGGTATAAAATTTTATATAGTTCAGTTGATTTAAGATTTGGGTTCTCCACTCAGTTTGTATGTTTTTTTAATCATTATTCCACAAATGTTGATTGACATGCTTCTCTGCAACAAATATTATATCAGAGTCAAGAATGAAAGTTACTATTTCTACCTTCCCGTGGTCCGTAGTCTATGTGAAATAGATCAGTAGACAGTATACCACATTATGTATTAGAAATGCTGTACTGGTTATTTAAAAGATTCAAAGATATCTGAGAGGTTGTCATCCAATCAAGGTAAAGGGACAGGGTGGAGTTCAGGGAAGGTCTTGAAGGTGGATTGCACTTAAATTGGGTCTTGGATGATGTTTACTGAGTAGGAAAGAGAGGGATCAGTGCAAAGGGATGAACGAGCACAAGGAATCTGGCAGGACTACAAATAGTGTACTGTGTGACTGGGGAACGAGTCTGGAAGGAGACAGGCCAGGCCCTTGAGGGTTCATACACATGATGGGGGAGACTTCACTGTAACAACATCTACCTAAGAGAAGAGAATGGATTAAACGAAGCAAAGAATATGTTTCTTCCTTAATGATAAGTAAGAGACATCTGTTTTTAACCAAAGAAATGGAATACTATCAGGACTTCTTTGATTACTAAAGTATAACTCCAATCTTCTCTTTATCTTAGCGGAGTTAGTTACAAAACTTTATGAGGCAGCTGTGAAGAAAGTTCCCAACAGTGAGGAGTATCACTCTCACCTCTTCATGGCCTATGCCAGAGTCGGCGAATACAAGAAAATGCAGCAGGTAACTCCATCCCCCAAACCTCCTGGGCTGTTGGATTTACTGTTAGAAAAGTCCCTGTTGTGATTTAACTGTAGCGGCTGTAGCGGGGTGCCTGTAGAACTGTGTTTGTGTGTGGAGAATAGCCCATTATTTTCATTGTGTATTTTATTTTATTTTATTGTTTTAGCTGTTTAATTCATGTTCCATACTATTCAGTGGTTTGAATGTACTTGAGTTGTGCAATTGTTAGCACGATCAGTTTTAGAATATTTTCTTCATATTTTTACTCTTGTTTTTTAACTCAATTGTTATTAAGTCCCCATCTCCCCAATCTCCCCTGCCATAACCTTAAGAAACTGTTAATCTGGTTATTGTCCCTATATATTTCCTTGTGGTATTTTAAAAATGAACTATTATTCAAGTTACTTAAGCCTTGTCTGTGGTAAAAAGCTGATTGTCCTTCTGTGGCCTCACGGTCTGTTTTGTTCAGTTCTGGTAAATCAGCTTTTCTATTGTCATCTGAATCAGACTTTGGGCAGAAATCCCAAGGCACAAATGAACAGATTATCTAGAAAAGGTAACAAATACAAGTAATGAATTTACGTTTCATGTGTGTATTTAACTATTTGTGACCTACTGAGAGTTTGAGATCAGTGAGGGAGAAATCCCCTTGCCTATGAGGTTGTATTTTTACCTGAGGTGGCCTATTTGCCAGGGGCACTTTTTTTTAAGGTGGTCTGATGGAATTGAGGAGCTGCAGTGGGTTTTGTGTCCAAGTGACTGAGCCTTGTGAGCCTCATTTGTGCTAGTGCATGCAATAGCTGACAGGGATTCTAGAGAAATGAAACCCACACAGTGTAGCACAGACACAAACATCACACATCTGAATGCTTTGTGTCTGTACAAGCAAAGCCTGCTTACTTGGGTTTCCACTTTATCTTATTCTGCTTAACATACTGCAACAGATAATTTCGGCAGGGCAGCCAGTACTCTTTATTAATATAAATTTTTTCTTCTTAAAAGCAGCATTTATATTTCCTTAGGCAAGTTTGCAAACTAGAAGAATTTTTCCTTTCATATGTATTTCTTCAGCAATTTTTAGCATTAATGTATTTGCTGGTGGTGTATGTCTTAGTATAATCATTCAGAGATACTTTTTTAAAAGAATTTTTATTATGAATTAGGTGGCAGTTTACATTTCAGATCATCAGTTTTGTATTTAGCAACTTAAACTAATTATCAACCCCCCCTAGTAGCTTACTGCATCCGCCATCCCTCCTTTGACTTCACCCCCTTGTGGCTTACTAGCTTCCTCTTCACCCAAGTGAGCATTACTTCATCTTCCCTCCCTTGCCCCTACCCCCTTTGGTAACTTCCAGTGTTTCCTTGGGTATGAAAACCTTTTAAAATGTAAACTAGATGTATTTTTAAAAATTGTTATCATTAATGTGTACATGTAAGTCATAAATTTAATTTTGATGTGTTTTAAGCAAAATATATTACTAAATGACCATTGATAGGGATAAAAAGAAATAACCCACTCACCATCATCGAGTTGATTCTGGTTCATAGTAACTATATAGGACAGAGTTGAACTGCCTCTGTGGGTTTTCAAGACTATAAATCTTTATGGGAATAGAAGCCTCATCTTTCTCCTGAGGAGCAGCTGGTGGTTTCGAACTACTCATCTTGTGGTTAGGAGCCCAACTCATAATACATCACCAGGGCTCTCCGTGATACAGAGTTAAAGAAATGATGGTACATCTGTACTGTATGTCCCATTCTTCTAAATGATGTGCTTTTATTTGTTGACACAGAAAGATGTTCCCAAAACACAGTGCTAACTGAGAAAGCTCCCATTGCCACTGACTCCATTCTGAGTCAGAGTGACCCTCCATAAGGTCTCTTTCTTTTTTTGGTATAAGGTTTCAGAAGCTATAAATCTTTATGGGAGCAGGCAGCCTCATCTTTCTCTTGTTAATTGAGAAAAACGGGTCATAAAAAGACTATGTCTCTAGGATAGATGCCAAAATGTTAATACGGTAGGGGGCTATGGATAATTTTCTTTCATCTTAATAGGTTTTCTGTTTTAAAAAAATATATAGGCATGTTATTAATTTTATGATCCCCAAATAAAACTTTTCATGTATATATAAAAACTTTTATAGAGCTACATAAAATAACAAGAATAGAAGGTTCCTATAATAGCAATATTGAGAAATTTTGGAAAAAAGGAAAAATAACCTACCATTTGAACCTCAGGCTAATTTCCATTTTTATATCATTTAGGTTTTTTTATGCCCAGAGTTTGATATGCAAAATTGCATCTTGTTTTCTTTTTTTTTGGAGGGGGAGCATTGCATTGATACGGTTTTAGCAGTTACACTTCTTTCATATGTCTTAGTCCTAACTTGATTTTGCATTATTTTCTTCTAATAATGTGCTGGAGAAATGGAGTGTTGGTGTTAAATACTTTAGGACAGAAATTGTACTTTTTTTTATACTGCATTTGTTGCTGCCTAAGAGAATTAAAATTCCTTAGCTATACACCTACCTACTTATTTTTAAAATGGCATATCATTCTTAGGTAATAGGTACTTCATAAATTTAGTGTCTTGTTTCTTTGGGGGGACAGGGCAGTGGCTTTTTTTTTATTTTGTTCACTGCTGAATCCCCAGTGCTTAGAATAGTATCTGTACAATAAATATTTATTAAACAAATGAACGATTACATAAACTGACAGAGGCAAGAGGGAGGAGGCTTGAGAATCAGAAAACATTCTAGCCTCAGAATGCATGCCTACCATCGGGTACATCGTGGTACTAATCCAGTGTGGTAAAGCATCGCTGGTTATTTATATGGTGACTGGACATTGGTTTTTCTGTAAATTACATTTCCATTCTCTGAGTTTTCGAGCTTACACTAACTTCAGAGCCATGTTTTTCAAACTCGTCCATCATCAAACCTTTGATGAATTAGACACACCCTGTTTAACCATTTTGACTCTAGATCATTTTGATCCTATCGCCATAGTCTTTTAGGTCTCATAACGCATCCCCCCTTTTAACCTGGTCTGTCTCTTCAAAGACTCTTACTACCCTGTTTCCCCAAAAATAAGAGAGTGTCTTATATTAAGTTTTGCTCCCAAAGCTGTGCTAGGTCTTATTTTCAGGGGATGACTTATTTTTCCATTGAAAAGAATACGGTACACATTTATTGTTTATTGTTTTATTAAAAGAGACCTCGTACTTCCTGTCTGCTTCGGCTGCACTGCGGCCAACAGTGAGCTGTGTGGCGGCGCCTGCC